GTCACAGTGACCTGTACACCCGAGAGTCCTAGCCTCACCCTGAAGTGGGGCGGAGGGCTCATCTCAGTGCAAATACTAGAGTAGAAACAAGTACTAATCAAACTCATTATTTTTCTCCATGTAACAACATTTCCATTGTCAAAAGCTTGGTTTTTATGATGCATCTCGAAAACTGACAGCACAAGTCTGCTTTCTGGTTGTGTGATCACACTGAGTCATCTGTGACTCAGAGACCAAAAATTGCTGCTATGGGCTCAGAGCACACCTCCCCCTCCGCCAACACCTTGTACAACCTTCCTGCAAAAATGATCATCACAACTTCTGTTAAAATGCATTTAATGTTTTACATTACGGATGTGTAATATGTTCATCTCAGACAATTTAAAGATCACCTGAGTCTCCAGCACAAAGAGAAAGCACAGTCAGATACTGCTTTCCGTTGTTTTATTTTTTGTTACAAAGTGTGCATGCAGGTATGAATATATGTATACACACACACACACACACACACACACACACACACACACGATCATAAACATCTTTAAAGAATAAAAACTAAATATTATACAATGAATTCCTCTTAGTATACTAGGATTCTAGACTTCATGTACAATGTTACCCTCTCTAGAGTTTGGGCAATATCCTTACTATTATGGCCACAGTGTTACTGTTATCACACCTATAATGTTACTATGAGGTTTAAGTCCCAGAGTTCTTCATTTTTATCTGCCTTCATAGCTAGGACAGAGCTGTACTTCTAAGCATTCTTGAAACCCCAGTGAAGCCACCTGTTAAGACAGAATTATAAAACTTGCCATGAAGATTAAATTTGACAATATACGTCAGATACTTGACACAAAGGAAGCCCTGGCTTCACTTTACAGAAAGCACTAGATTTCTGATTAAGAGTTCAGGGTTTGGGAACCCACGCCCTGTCACTCACCATTGTATGACCCTGAGCAAGTTATACATCCTCTCTGAGCCTCTATTTTCTCATCTTAAAAAAGGGATCAATAATACCCACTTCACAAGTTGTAAGTCAAGTTTAAAATAAAGTATTGCATGGAAAACACTTAGCCACAGCTCTTGGAACTCAGTATAGCAGCCACAAGACCCTCAGTAGACATTTGGGACATAAAATTAAATTAAATATGGGTCCCATCTTATCTAGCACAGCACCTTGCACATCATAGATGCTCAGTAAAATATGATCAAATGATATACCTGCTCATTTAGACAAGTGGAGGGAAGGGTCTGTCTGAATGAAGTACAGCTGACTGAAGCATTTCTAAGTAGGTGAGTAACTCCTGAAATAATCAAACCAGCAGAGTGTCTGTAAACCCATAAATGGCATTCTCTTTTTTTCAAGGAGAGCCAAATTGCTTGAGTGTGCACTCAAAGAGGATTGACTTTAATCAAAACATAAAATCTTAACATTATCAGAATAATCATCTTAGCAGTATTAGCCTTCCATGTGAAGAGATATAAATAGACATCTCATACAGTTTGCATACTTTAGTTTTCAAAGGAGCGAAGCATTTACTTTTATCTTCTTTCTTTCCTTTACTTACCTGGTTTTAAACAACAGAAGGAAGATGATGTACAAGATTTTGTGAGGAATTATCAGTAACCAGTGATAATGAAATCACTGAGTGCTTATGGTTCTACGAATCAGTTCTCTAGAGTGCACACACACACACACACACACACACACACACACACACACAACCTCCAGTAGAATTTTGGCTGGGTGAGGGTAAGAACCACATCAGGCACAGTAGTCATTCGGAAATATGTGTTGAATGAAAAAAGTGCATGAAATCCACAGGGCAGGAATCTTTAATGGGAAACTCTTGGAAATGCTTCAGGGCATCTGTACACGGTATGAAATTATTTATATTGTTGCATGTGAATATGAGGGCACATGTGCTGAGGTGCATTTTTCTGGGGAGTAAGCCTATAAATTGCATGAATGTTCCTCTATACTGATTACATTTAAGAAACAAAACTTCAATGGCCCCTTGCTATGAAGCTGCCACTAATCCAACCTGCATGTGTCACCTCCATGGACACAAAATCCCTACAGTCTTTGTTATAAAAAAGGTTCTCAAGTGTTTACCCTCAGACAAGTAGAACTCTTCCTTGACCTATCTGGAACAGAAATGAGTATAAAAAAGCAAGCATTATAGACCACCATCAGGTAACCCATCTTCCAGAAAACATGCAAAAGAGTTGTCACATCTGGTCACCTGGAAATCGTGCAGGTCTGGGGAAAAGTGTACTTGCCAGAAAACAGATGTCTCAGTTGGGGGACAGTACAAAATAGACGGTGCTTTCACGGTATCTTCATTTCTCTGTATCGTTCTCAGACATAAAAGAGTGACTCAATTAAAATACGAAAGTCTGAGCTCGGTATATACAGGCAACAAACATTCAATGGAGAGACACAAAGGTAGAACACACAGGATATGGGTAATAAGTGAGGCAGAGTATCCCCTAAACATCCCTGATACATTGGGTCATTGGGAAAGTCATGATGTATTTTTTTCTCTGTTTTTCATTGCAAAAATGCGTCATTACTTTTCTGACAACCCAATACAATAGAAATAATAATGACAACAATGTTGATAACATGATTTATAACTAAAACCCTTTACTAGAGGTAAAGCACTTTTCACATAGATGTGTCAGGCTGGCACAATGATGGCCATCTTACAGATCAGGACACGGAGGCTCAGAGAAGTTCAAATCTTATCCATGTCACAGTTAGTAAGTGGAGATGGTGACAGATGTCCACACGTCTCCAACTTCTAAGTGCTGTGTTCCTTGTATATTTTACTTCAGACCATAGAATAACAGCTAAGCCTCCTTTCTTCCTAATTTCTGGATATGTTGGTAATTTTTTGTTGAAATCCAGAAAAATCAAGGTGCTAAAGGAAGCTAATTTATTATCTTGACTGCCACGCAATTAACATGTTGGAGGATGGAGATCAGTTGGCACATAAAAAAAATCAAGGGAAGTAGCAAAATAAGAAACTTGGCCTTGGAGTCCTTTGAAGCTATTTTAAAAAGCAAAAAAGTTATGTTAAGAGCTATGTGGTATATCCCTGGGTGTGTGTAATTATTATTCCACTGATTTATTGCACACAAGTCAAAGAGCATCTGGGCATTTGTACAAGTTAAAGCAAACCAACCCAAGAGCCAAGCCACACAGCCGCAAACCCAGACAGCTTGCTTCCCACTCCTTGACCCACTCTGAATCCCACCACCTCCCAAACGCAAATTCTCGGGTAGCAAGAGTCTTCTTTGCACAGATGAACTATTAAGCCAGGGACAGCTGTCATTATAGCATATTCTAAAAAAGTAGCCAGAGCCATTGATGGCACAGTTTTTCCAGAGAAACCAGCAAGGTTCTTCCAATTCTAGAGAGAGCCCTCTTTTGTGTTGGCAAAAGGTTTCAGGAATGACTCAGGAATCAAACTGGTAACCTCCTCCAAGGATGAATGCTGTATCCTTCATATTAATTGAAACTCAGGTTTTTTTGTTGAAGGGCATAATGAAACATAACACATCTCATCTACTGAACACTTGCCCACTGAGGTAAGGAGACTCTTATTTCCTTCTATTTCTCCAAGAAGTGGGAGAATCACTTTCATGTATTTTCACCCTGTTGCCAAAAATCCTTTGCCTATGATGCAACGATTAGAGCAAATTTTAACCTAAATTGCTTCCTCTAAGAGACGGACATCATTGGGTAACTTTCTCCATTTTCATTGACAAAGATCTTAAAAGAAGAAAAAAGGCAAAAGAAAATTCCTCAGATGTTTCCAGCAGATAAAATCATTAATCTCACACTCCCAACTTCAAAGCAGAAGACTAGAAAATCACCTCACTTTCTCTGCACATGGAGAATCATTTTTTTCCTACTTCAAAGCACTGTCTATTGGGTCATTTTAATTATTGAACGTGGGATGGAAGCTATCCACATAATGTCACCACTGCCTTTTTTCATAAAATATATATAGGTCTAATTTGGAGTACATTAATTCGAGAGAGGTAAAGTACCAAGGAGAGAATAAGAAAAGGGAAGTGGGCTGCCTTCTCCTAAGGGGACCCCCATAACACAATGCCTTCTTCTAAGGAGACCCCCATCGCATGCTGCCTTCTCCTAAGGGGACCCCAATAGCGCACTGCCTCAACACTTACAATCAGAGAGATTCACCACATTCTTTGCTATTGCCCACAGGTAATAATCTATTTTGTCAACTAATTTATTTACACAACAACTAGCTTGGGTCCTGCTTTCCTTAGCAGCCCCAAGGATAAAATCCAACGGAGAGAAGCAAGGAAATAGGATAGGAACATCTATTTGTTTTTCTCCTAAATGTGAATAAAAAATGACAAAACAACATTTCCTTTACGAAACTCACACAATACCAACTTTCTTCCATGGGCAAAAGAATCTTGAAAATTGAGGATACTCCCTAGGAAGAAACCTTCGGAACCGCAGGTGCCAGGAGGGGGACCTATACCAATACCCAGCAAAAGAAGGCCGATGACATTCTGACTAAAATGATTCTCAATAAAATAAAACCATTCAAGATCCAATCAATTATCTGTAGTTCCCAAACCCAAAAAACTCTAAATAATGAAAAAGAAAATTTCCAAGTGTGAAGCAAACCGCTTCAGTGGTACAACCTGACACAAAAAGACAGGAGGCACTTACATAGTCTTTATCCTATGGTAATATGAATTTTTGTTTCGGCAGAAATACCCATATGTTTGCTTGTTGGGTATTGCTCCAGCCCCACTGTGGGTGTTATATAACCTATGATACATGCAATGGCCCTTACCTTCCCCAAACTCCCCAAACATCTGCTATCCAAAATGCATCTGGCCCCAAGGGTTTGGATAAGGGACCTTCTAAGGAAAGCTGTTCAGGCAGGACATTTTCTATCAGCTCAACGTCTACTGCCCCGAATCCTGATAGAGAGCCTTACCTCGGTCTGAAGTATGGCAGCCCTCTGTTCTTTGGCAGTAAGCGACTCTTTAAGCACTTCGATGTGTTGCTTGCAATCTGAATTTTGATTGCTAAGGGTTTCAAGCTTTGTTTGTAAGGCAAGAAGTTCTGACTCCTTCTTCGATAGTTCCTGCTTCAGCTGATCAATCTGTAAAACAACAGCCAAGTTGCAAGAAATTAGAAGCCGCAGCTCTTACTCGTTACATTTGGGAACTACTGATTTCTTTTAATTATCAATAGCTGGTGATCATTAGTCCAACAAGGCAGGCCATGAATTTGCTTAAAGAGATGGCCCTGGGAGTCACACGGTCTTTCGGTTTCTGGGGAGGCTCTGCATGGTGACTGAGAGTGTGGAAACAGGAAAGGGAAGGTCAGCGGACTGCTTTCCACCTTCCACCTCATGGAGAGCCAAGGTTCAGGGTGGAATGAAGGCTTCCTGCCCAAATCTACTATTCACCCATGAGACCACAAAGTCTATTCACCACAATCCTCAGAAGATCCAACAGGGAGCTAATGAAGACACAACCTTGACCTATGCTACTCTACAGGGCATCATTTGACAAAAAGGAATACTCACCCCAGAAAAACAAGTAAGCATTGGGGGATTCATTTGGGCTTATATTAAATACTGAGAAAACACAAAAGAACATAAAATATATATAAAGTACATATAAGGAAAAAATAATACAAGAAATATTTAATATCTGATTCACCAAAAAAGATCACTAGAATTACCTGTGTTCCAAATCATTTCTATCTCCTTCTTTCCCCTTTCAGAAATAATCACCACTCTAAATTTTGTCCTTGTTATTTTCTTGCTTGTCATTTAGTCTTACCATATATTTTTACATCTGTAAATAACATATACTTAGTTTTGCTTCTGAAGATAAAATACTAGTTTTGCATACTATTTAGGTTTTTAACTTTATTTGCACTATTTATGTTTTTCTTAGCACTACTTTTTTCTATTCAATCTTATGCCCTGGCAATTAAATAATAATATTTATTTTTACGTGCAATTTGTTCATTTTCATTGTAAGACTTCACCACAAATTATTTGTGCATTCTGCTGTGGACAGACATTTGAGTTTGTTTCCATGTTTTTCGCTATAACAAAAAGTACTATTCTGAACATTCTTATATATTGGGTTGTGGGAAAAGTCATGACGCATTTTTGCAATGAAAAACAGAAAAATTACATCATGACTTTTCCGACAACCCAATATATCAGCCGGTATAAGTAGCAAAAGTAATCAGGCAGTTGAACTGTTGGACCACATAGTATGCACATCTTAAGCTTCGGTAGATAACACCAAAATGTTTTCCAAAGCAATTATATTAATTTTCAGTCACAAGCACTGTGTGTGCTAATCACTCCATATTCACCCATGTCTTATGTCACCAGCCTTTCACATTTTTGCCAGTTGGATAGGAGCTGTGGCAGATGATCCCCAAAGATATCCCCACCAATTTCTTCCTGTGCTGCTCCTCACAACTAGAGGTAAAGTCTATTTACCCTCCCCTTGAACCTGGGCTGGATTGTGCAAATACTAGCTGAATGTAGCAAAAGTGTCAAGTGTTCCTCTTCCAGCCCAATCCTGTAGAAGGAATGGCAGCTTCAGCTTCCCCCTGCTGGAATCCAACCACCATGTTAAAGTCCAATTATCCCCCAACCACTGTGTCGTGAGGAAACCCATACCGGCCATACGCAGGCCAAGAAAGACAGAGGCCTGGAGGAAATGGTGGCCCCTTTGTCTTGTTCCTGGTCTTAAAGGGAAGAATTGCAATGTCTCATCATTAAGTTTGATGTTTGCTTTAGCTTTTTATAGGCACATTTAGGTTTCAGAAAGTTCCCTTTTATTACCATTTTGGCAAGAGTTTTTTTTAATCATTAAAGCATGTTTAATATTACCATTTTTTCTGCATCTCATGATTTACCACATTTTTCACCTTTAATATGTTATTGTAATGAATTATATTAATGGATTTTTAAAATACTAATCTCTCTTTGCATTACCATGAAAAACTCCACTTAATCATGATGTATTATTTTTTTAATATTTTACTGGATTCGGCTTGCTAATATTTTGTCAGGATCTTTTATCTATGTTATGGGTAAAGGTTGGTATGTAATTTCCCTATCTTGTGCTGTCTTTGTCAGGTTTTAGTATCAATTTAGCCTTCCAAGTAAAGTAGAAAGTGTTCCTTCTTTTAATGTGTTCTGAAATGGTTTGTATAAAGTTGAAATATTTTCCCATCAATGTTCACTAGACATCACCAGCAAAACTATCTAGTGCTGGTATTTTCTCTTTCCAAACACCATTCCTTACTTCATCCATTTTATTGGATATAGGAATGTTCATGTTTTCAATTATTAAAGTCAATTTTGATTTTTTCCCCTAAGAATTGTTCATTTCATCTAAATTTCACCCTTATTAGCAAGAAATATTCATAAAACCCATTTACCTTTTTTTTTTTAAAGATTTTTATTGGGGAATTGGGGGGATGGGAACAGCACTGGGGAATTGGGGGAAGGGGAACAGTGTCACTGGCCCTCATATGTGGGATCCAAACCGGGGCCCTCTGGCGTCCCAAGCCAGTTCTTAACCATCGCGCCACTCGGCCAGCCCCCCATTTACCTTTTGATATCTATGGCATCTATAATTGTATCTTCTTTTTCATAACTAATATTCTTCATTGTACTCCCTTGATGAATTTCAGCAGAGGCATTCTATGTTAATTGGCTCTTCAAACAACCAATTTTGTCTGTGTTGATCATCCAATATTTTTATTTTCTATTTCATTAACTTCTGGTCTAATTTTTAAATTATTTCATTCATACTTGTTTGGATTTATTCTATTTTCTTCTCCTAACTTTTATGTATTTCTTAATCATTTTTAATTGTACAATTGCAGTTGACATAAATATTATATTAGTTTCAGGTGTACACCATAGTAATTAGACATTTATATAACTTATGAGGTGATCACCACTATAAATCTAGTACCCATCTGACACCATACATAGTTATTTCAGTATTACTGACTACATTCCCTAAGCTATATTTTACATCCCTATGATTATTTTGTAACTACCAATTTGTACTTCTTAACCCTGTCCCCTTTTTCACCCATTCCTGTAAACCCCCTCCCATCTGGCAACCCTCAAAATGTTCTCTATCTATGAGTTTGTTTCTGTTTAGTTTGTTTGTTTATTTATTCTTTAGATTCCACATATAAGTAAAATCATATGGCATTTTTCTGTACCTGTCTGACTGACACTATTCAGCATAATACCCTCTAGGTCCATCCATATTGTTACATATGGCAAGATTTCATTCTTTTTTATTGCTGAGTAATATTCCATTGTATATATGTACCACTACTTCTTTATCCATTCATCCATTGATGGGGACACCCAGGTTGCCTCCCCATCTTGGCCATTGTAAATAATGCTGCAGTGAACATATAGGTGCACATGTCCCTTAAAGGTAGCATTTTGGGTTTTTTCAAATAAATACCCAGAAGTACAATTAATGGGTTATTCTTTGTCTCTTGTTATAGCCTTTGTTATTTTAAAGTCTATTTTCTCTGGTATAAGTATTGCTTTTTGTTTTTTGTTTCTATTATCATGAAATATCTTTTTCCATACCTTTACTTTCAGTCAGTGGGTGTCTTTCAATCTGATGTGAGTCTCTTATAGGGAGCATATGTAAGGGTCTTGTTTTCTTATTCATTCAGCCACCCTATCTTGGAGAATTTAATCCTTTTGCATTTAAAGTAATTGTTGATAGATATATAGTTATAGCCATTTTATTATTCATACATTTTATTTTTTTTCCCTCTTAAAGAAGTCCCTCTAAGATTCCTTGTAATACTGGTTTAGTGGTGATGAACTCCTTTAGCTTTTTTGTCTCCAGAAAGCTTTTTATCTGTCCTTTGATTTTAAATGATAGCTTTGCTGGGTAGAGTAGTCTTGGTTGTAGGTCCTTCCTTTTCATCACTTTAAATATTTCATGCCAATCCCTTCTGGTATGCAAAGTTTCTGCTGATAAGTCAGGAGACAGTCTTATGGGAGCTACCGTGGGAGCTACATTTCTCTTGCTGTTTTTAAGGTTCTCTCTTTGTCTTTAACCTTTGGCATTTTAATTATGATGTGTCTTGGTGTGGGGCTGTTTGGGTTCATCTTGTATGGGATTCTCTGCACTGCCTAAGCTTGTGTGTCTATTTCCTTCACCAAGTTAGGGAAGTTTTCATCACTTCTTCAAATAGGTTTTCAGTTCCTTGCTCTCTCTCCTCTTCTGGTACCACTATGATGCAAATATTAGTACACTTGATGTTGTCCCAGAGGCCCCTTAAACTATCGTCAATTTTTTTTTTGGGGGGGGGTTGGAATTCTTTTTTCTTCTTGCTATTCTAATTGGGTGTTTTCTGCTACCTTCTCTTCTAAATCGCTGATTCAGTCCTCTGCTTCAGGAAATCTATTGATTCCCTCTAATGTAGTCTTCATTTCAATGATTGTATTCTTCATTCCTGATTGATTGTTTTTCATGTTTTCTATCTCCATTTATATGTTTCCTACTTTTTTCTTGAAGATCTCAGTGAGATCATTGAGCATCCTTATAACCAATGTTTGGAACTCTGCATCTGGTAGATTGCTTTTCTCCATTTTGTTTAGTTCTTTTTCTGGAGCTTTCTTCTGTTCTTTCATTTGGAACATGTTTGTCTCCCCATTTTTCTGCCTCCCTGTGTTTGTTTCTATGTAGGGCTGCTATGCCTCCCTGTCTTAGTAGAGCGGCCTTATGTAGTAGGTGTCCTGTGGGACCCAGTGATGCAGTCTCCATGGTCATCTGGGCCGAGTGCTGCAGATGTGTCCATGTGTGGGTTGTGTGTGCCTTTCTGTTGTAGTTGAGTCTTGATTTCTATTTGCATATCAATAGAAGTGACTGACCCTTGGGCTGATTGGTTGTGAGGACTGGCTGTTACTACAGTGGAGGTGCTGTTGTGCAGAGGCTGACCCTACAGAGTAGGATTTGCTTTAGTGGAGCTCTGATGCCTGCCCAGTCTGCTGTTTGGTTGTGTGGAGGCAGCAGGGTGGTGCTTCGGCTTGGCCCAAAGCTGGCGGCCAGGCATCCCCACCCTGAGGCC